AGCTTTAATGGCCTTACACATCATGTGTGAGAGGCTTGATTGAGTTATTATTGTTTTATGATTGGTCAGAGGGAAGACTTTTTCATGGTTGTGAAAACAGACATCCTGCAGACCTCAGTTAATGTTTTACAACTCTGACCAGGTCTTCTTGCTGCAGTTCTGTTGTCCCTGATTGAGATAAGAGTCTGTTTTGAAGTTTGTTACATGTTTTGGCTACAAGTTCTATAGTTTTGCAGGAGAAGGGAGGAAGTAGGATCACTGCTCATGAAAACAAAATGGCTGATACCTTAACAAGATGGCTGTCGCCTGCAGCTTCCATGTCTCTATTGCGTACAATCATTACAGTGGTAATCATGGTAGAGATAGAGGTATAGGAAGCACAGATCCATAGTATGTATCCTTTTACTGTAGGACCTCATTTACAATTTCCTTTCCAGCAAGGAGAACAGTTAACAGCACAGTAGTGACTTCACCAAAACTCACTCCAAATATCGTGTGTCTAACAGCGAGAGGCAGCAGTGTCGTACATGATTTCATGCTGTACATATACATCTTTGAGGCTACAGCCACAAGAAGTGCACTTATTTTTCAGGTGGAATTCAAGACAAAAGTAATTATTTCAGAGTACTTCTTTGGCACAATTAACATTTCTAGATGTTCCTGCTAAGATAGCAAATCTTCCCTTTTTAATTTCAGGTCCACTTCAACTTTTAAACAAAGAGTACTTTTCTCAGCTATAAAAATAATTACGAAAAATTGACCTTTATCAGATCCACCTACTTTACAAAGGTAGTGAATTTTGATTAGCAGCACTAGTTCATAAAAGAAAATGGATTTGCAGCAGGCGTAATCCTTTGTCCAAATGCAATGATATTTGGCAGAATTGGCTGATACGTGTAGGCACAGTGACCTCATGAACAGACATCCATTTATCTATTTATTTTTCATGAGCGTTAAACTTTCTTCTTTCTTTAATTGCTAATAAATAACATTTGAGTCGCCATAATTCAGCTTATTAACTGAATTATCTGGGTTTCATCATTAATTTATCTCATTAGAAAGGGCAATTAAAAAAAAACTTGTATTGATTTACAGGTGTACAAGAGCAGTAAATATACCTACCAGGGAGGTGGCAGAGGAAAGCGCTGTGTGTGGTCTGTTTTTCGCTCCTGTTTTATTGTTTGTGGTTTCCACCTTAAAGGGTAATTCCACTTTTGTGGGAAAAAATAACAAATGAAAAAAATAATATAGCATATACAATTGTGATACAAGTCATATTGTAATTTAATGTTATTAAAAATGGCCTTTTCAATCCGCAGTGCTGTAAATTTCAGTATGCGACAATATTGCGACAATAGTAGAGACACCACTATATGCATCTCCAAACTTTATAAATAAAGGGCCAGTTTACAATCCTTCAGACTTTAGGGGGGCTGGACTGTGGCCATTAGAAATTGTCCTGGCATCAGTGTTAGTAAGCAGTGCATATTTGGCATTATGGGGATGAATAGCGTACTATCTCTGATGTCAGTGGGAGAACACATTCCCCATTGTTGGTGTCAGTGGGAGGAATAGTGCCCCATCTTTGGCATCAATGGGAGAAATAGTGCTGCCTTGTTGATGTCAGTAACAGGAATTATTGTTTTTGCCAGTGGTACACCATGTAGCAGTTCCCTGTGATATGGTAACTCTGGCATTGAGGTACTTCTGTCCTGAGACCCTTTTGTGTCTATTTTCCCATAAATCCTTCGAAATGTGTTATAAATACTCTCAGAATATAACTAATTTACTAAGTTATATTTTACATTGGCTTTATTCCTAGTAATGATTTCAATTAAAAGTTTTTGTGAGTTCAATGAATTAATTTATCCTAGAAAGGTACACAAATCAAAAATGAATTAATTAGACAATGCATACATTAAACTTGAAAAATGTTAATGATGTTGATCATAGTGTCCCTTTTAAGCTGAACTTCAGACAGATATAAAAGAAAATTAATGCAGCTTTGTATTCTTTAAAGTGTTTCTAAAAATTAAATAGCAAACAATGTTATACTTACCTGCTCCGTGCAATCTACTCCTCAGGTCCCCCGCCAGCATTCCTGGCTCCTTCTTTTCTGAGCGTGCCCCCATAGGAAGCTTCTTTCTCTGGGGGCACTCAGGTGTGCTTGATCCCAAGCCTCACTGTCTGTGCACATAGTCACAGTGGGACTCAACTCTCCCCCCCTGCTCCCTCCTTATAGGATTCAATTGACAGCAGCTAGAGCAAATTTGTGGAGGGAGAAAGAGGTTAGCGCCTCTGTTCTCTTGCACATCTCTGGATCGAGATCAGGCTCAAGTAAGTAGTAAGTGGGCTTTTGGGGAGAGCTAGATACAGAAGTGTGTTTTACTTTCATGGATAGAATGCATGAAGGTAAAAAACCTTCAGCCTAGGTTCACACTTGTGCAGTGTGGCATATCGCATGTGATTCACACATGAACTGCACCGCATTCCTGTTCAAATCACATGCGAATTCTGTGCGGTGCGATTGGAGCCATACATTTTGTATGGCTCAAATCGCACCGCATCCCCACCAAAAAGGTGCAGGATCCTTTTTTTGGTCCGCACTAGAGTCGGTTTGCATGGATATTCACACCTATGCGATCTGATTCTGCACATCGCACCTTAATTTCGGGGTGTTGTTAACGTAATATACACACCCGAAGCTGTTCGCATGAACGGGGTGTGACTGTGATGCGGTGCTGAATTCACACAGAAACCGCTGCGAATTCCGCACCACATCAGTGTGAACCCAGGCTTAACCTTTAGAACCATGGTTTACATGTATTTTTGCTAAATGAAAGCAATGTAGGTATCTCACGTGGTATCGGCTTTTTGCATTTCCATATAAAGCAAAGCTCAGAACATAAGAGGGAGAAGCTGTAAAAGTAGCCATTAAGTTCCTGTGCTGACCAGGGCCATGCTGATTGGAGGAGAGAGCAGAGTGACAATTATATGAGCTCATTCCTCTGCTTCTCCTTTCACTGTCCAGTCTCAGATGACCTGTAAATGTTTTTGAACTACAACAAAGACAAATCTAGTCTCTTGCCCTTCCACTAACTGATGTGGTGTATGTGATGGGGAAGTGTAAATCTCAGGACTGGATGGGCAGAAATAAATATCTTTCGGCAGGTAAAACACCCATCATATACTTGTTTTATCTGTGCATTTAGCTGTTTGTCTGGAGTTCAGCTTTAGGTTAAACCACTAAATATCTGCCAGACAAACTAAGAAGTGTGCCGAAAGCACATTCTTCTGTGCTAATAGGTCAGTATAATACCTTTTTAATATGCCATTGAGCTGAATAGCAGATCTGCAAATCAGGCAAACAGCTGTGTATAAACTTTTCATGACAATAAAAGAAAATGAAGTCTATTCTTCTTTTAAGCTTGCGGTATAATTTGTACAGCTCTTCATGAACTTGTGTGCCACTACTCAATAAGCAAGTTCAAATCAAGCAAGTCTTTATCAGCTTAATTACACAGCTGTGTCTGTGGTTAACCTTTGCGTTCTGTTTCTGGGAGAATTTCTTTTATTGTTGGTTTTCATTTTTATACATTGTCAAGAAAGAGAATGACACCTGGGCTCTAAACATGTAAGGAATTAATTGGATGTTTTGTTACCCTGCCATTCAAAAGCAGTTGAGGGGAGATAAGACTACTGTTGCTAAAATGTTGATTATATATTATCCAGTTTCTTTTGTACAGCTTTAAGAGATTGTTAACAATGAACTTAAACACTTAAGTAGGTATAAACCAATGCATCTATAAATACATCAGTGTATCCATAAAAAACAATGAAAGGCTCTTGTACATGGCCACGCAGAGTCAGCTTCACCTGTAGTGCCCGGGAACTGCAGTGTAATTTATCCATCGCCATGAACTGCCGTGCCATGTGTGTATTCTACATTAAAGTACATTGGAGCTGATTTACCAAAGGAAAATAGACTGTGCATTTTGCAAGTGCAGTTGCTTCATAGCTTACTACATGAGCTGACTTCCATGAAACCAATCATGTGCAATCTAAAATTCAAGTATGATTAATGGCAATTTTTTTTTTGTTTTAGATAGAGTCGAGAAGGATTAGAACACTTTTCAATTTATATTGCGGTCTGGGTCCCCGTTAAGGCATTTTACCCTATTTGTCCTGTTTACTGTTATAATTGAAAGTAAAAGAAAATCCCAAATTTTCAGTTGTCCCCAGAAAAGTAATAGAGGGGATATCTTCCAGTGGAGGCACTAGTTCTGTTGACCTGGGGGTCCCCAAGGAATTCCCCTAATTTGCAGGGAGTTCCTCTCGCTCCCTGTTTGGCTATGGGACAGGAAGTGAAGGGAAATCTCTCCTATAGAACACATATGGTGAAAAAAATCTGACGGGTTATAATCCTCCCTTGCTCTAGGGCAGGGGTCCTCAAACGTTTTAAAAAGGGGGCCAGTTCACTGTCCCTCAGACCGTTGGAGGGCTGGACTATAGTTAAAAAAAAAAAAAAAAACTATGAACAAATGCGGGCACAGTACAGGAGATGACCAGAGACTGCGGACATAGTACAGGGGATGACCAGAGACTGCAGACATAGTACAGGAGATGGCCAGAGACTGCAGACATAGTACAGGAGATGGCCAGAGACTGCAGACATAGTACATGAGATGACCAGAGACTGTGGACACAGTACAGGAGATGACCAGAGACTGCGGACACAGTACAGGAGATGACCAGAGACTGTGGACACAGTACAGGAGATGACCAGAGACTGATGACACAGTACAGGAGATGACCAGAGACTGAGGTAACAGTACAGGAGATGACCAGAGACTTCGGACACAGTACAGGAGATGACCAGAGACTGCGGACACAGTACAGGAGATGACTAGAGACTGCGGACATAGTACAGGAGATGACCAGAGACTGCGGACGTAGTACAGGAGATGCCCAGAGACTGCGGACGTAGTACAGGAGATGACCAGAGACTGCGGACGTAGTACGTTAGATGACCAGAGACTGCGGACGTAGTACAGGAGATGACCAGAGACTGCGGACGTAGTACAGGAGATGACCAGAGACTGCGGATGTAGTACAGGAGATGACCAGAGACTGCGGACGTAGTACAGGAGATGACCAGAGACTGCGGACATACAACGGCAGCGGGAATACTGGGCCGGCCCCGCTCCAAAAGACGCACAGACATTTCCCCCCAAGTGTCTCTTATGGAGTGAAATATACGGTAAATGCAGGACACAAATGCAGAGAGAGGAGGGGAGAGGGGGGAGAGAGAGAGGAGGGGAGATGGGGAGGGGGGAGAGAGAGAGGGGAGGTGGGAGAGGGAGGGGGAGAGAGGAGGGGGGGGGAAGGGGGAGGAGGGGTGGGGGAGAGAGAGAGGGGGGAGGGGAGGGGTGAGGGAGAGAGAGAGAGAGAGGGGAGAGAGAGAGGAGAGGAGAGAGAGAGGAGGGGGGAGAGAAAGGAGGGGTGGGGAGGGGAAGAGAGAGGAAGGGGGGGGGGGTGAGAGAGGAAGGGAGGAGAGAATGGGTGAAAGTTCTGTGAATCCCGAGTGAAAAAGTTGGTAAGTAGACCCCTGTGGGTCACATGTGCCTGTAGATTGGGATGCATGCACTTTTCGCTGTGATTCCAGCCTGACACAAACATGCAGTGTGCTCCGGCGGCGGTTTCCTGTAAATCTCAGCATTGATGAGCAGGGAGGCCCCTGACACTTGGCAGCTTCTGTGATCGTCTCACACGTCACCGCCCCTTAAGCTCCTCCCAATTACACCGGCTGCTCTGTCACTGAAGCAGTGGCTTGCACATGACAGTTCCCCGAAAAGACCACGCCCCTTATTTAACTTATTGCTCGCCCTCCCCACCCCATCCTCTCGCTAGCCCCGCCTACTGCCATCTCTTAGGAACCCCTGTTCTAGAATTGCTGATCCCGCCCTCCTGACTCCCACCCGAGCTCTCCCGACCTGCCAAACCCTAGTCCCTTGCCTCGTGGCAGATACGCCCCTGCCCGGCGGGCTGGATAAATGTCCTCAGCGGGCCGCAATTTGAGGACCGCTGCTCTAGGGATTGTAATCGTATATGACCAAACTGTTAAGTGAGCTTGTGTCCCTTTAATTGGACTTGGAAATGGATGGAATTATCCCTCTTCTCAGTAGGGGCCTCATTACTTCCTTATGGCTTTTCCTCCATAGGTGTAAGTGCCATAAAGAATATAGTGCCTTATCTTCTTTTTAAAACATTTATTAAATAAAGTAGTGCACTAACATTAAATACATGTTAAAATCGCTTTAAAACGTTGAAAATTTAATCCACAGTGTGCTTTTAAAACTGCAGTATACTTGCTGTGTGTGTTTCCTTTAAACGTCATGATGTCAGAGCCCCTCCCCTACGCTTTACGCCTCCAGGTCACATGGCTTCATCAGGGAGAAATGATTGCACGACATGACGCTCATTGATTTATATAGGGAACGCTGAGCCCCATTTTCTTGTGGTCCGCATGGCGGCGGCCATGTTTCTGGAGCCCGGTTTGAGTGTGTATATCCATTGCTCAGTGTTATAACCGTTTTTGCACCTTTAGTTTATCCCCAGCTCTACTTCGCTGTACTAGTTACACCCTTATCTGATGGATATTGCTATATTAAACATATGGGGTTTGCTGGCAATATATTTGGTATACTCACCATTTAATCTAACGGGTTAGTTATCTGCAACGTGTAAAAAAAGCTATTTGATCTTGACTTCTCTGATCCTCGCTTTCTTTCAGTGCCCCCCTCTTATCACCTGATAAGAAATATAATTTGTAGTCACTCTGCACATGCTCAGTTGTGTATTGTTAGAGAGCTTTTTCTTTTCCTTTAGTAGGGTGCATGTGATCAGCACAGGGCCAATCAGCACTGTTCAGACAGAGGTCAGGGGTTCTGTATCCTCCTAGAGCAGAATGAAAACTCTTCCTACAAGCTTTAAAATGTGCTCTGCTGAACACTGATAGAAATCACAAGACTGCTGTATCTGCTGATAAGAAAAGGTATTTAGCAGTTTATATTTACTAAAATAATTGCATTTTCATGCTCTGTGTACTGTGGGAGACCAGATATAATGAATGCATGGTCCTGGGTTTAGTAACACTTTAAGTCATAGAAGAAAATAAGCAGTCAGACTTTGTACTAACAGCCTCCATAGTCTTACCTCCTCCTCCATAGTACAGCTGCTTTGCCAGGGGTCGGTCTAAACATGAATGTGTAAATCAAACACACCAAGGTTAGACCTAATGTACTCTGTAATGTAGCAGACACACCATTCTCTGCAATACAAGTCTGTATGAGGACACTTTTGTTAAAGGGTGTGGCTGTTACACAGCTCTTCTGCTACAGAACACTGCAGTGTGAGGGTTGGAAGTACCAGTTAAAATGTGGAATGTAATGGAATTGAGTATAAATCGACCATGAATCATAATGTGGGGAACTGTAAAGAGATAAAAAGGCTTACACTGGGCTTTAAGGTGGCACACCATATATTGTAGGAGCTGGGCTCATCAAGGAGAAATTGATGGAAGTATATAAAGTAGAATGCTATTCTTTACAACAGAGCAGTTATGTGACAAGGCAGACGGAACCAGGGGCCGGCTACACAGGAAGAGAAAATATTTTACAAGCGGACTGTGGACAATATAACGTCTTTCTAGAAATTGCCAATTTTGTGCAGTCTTTCTTTCTTACCTGAGCACAGCAAAAAATAACCTCAGTTTACTTTTTGCATCTTCAGAACTCCTGCCTGCCTTCCAGAAAGTTTGCACACCAGCAGCCTAGAGAGATGAGATGTTTTATTCAAAATACACATAAAACATACATCTGGGGAATACCGGTCGTTCATTGCGCTGGGAAGACTGCAGCCTGCTGAGATGTTCCAGCTTTGGATGAGATGCTGTTTGTAGCCTCCTGTTTTTGCAGCATCAAGTCTGAATCTCAGCAAGCCACAGCTTCAGTCCCCATCTCCTTGCTTTATATAGCAGTGGGGTGATTGATTTATCCTGTATTTTATTATATCTGTAGCCTGCTCTGGGAGGAACCATTATATAATGCGTGTATTATTATTATTATTACATCGAGTTTATATAGCGCCAAAGGATTTGCTCAGCGCTGTACAATAAAGGGGGGGGGGGGGGACAATACATGAAACAGTACATCAACTACAAACAGCACACGAGGGGTTAGAGGTGTACAGTTCATTTCCTGTTGTCCATGCCACCAGCACAATTTACCTTCTATTGCTGGGTCCTCACAAGCTCTGGCCTTTTCACTTGAAATGCTTTTAAAGGTTCTTTACAGATTTTTTTTTCCAGTTTGAGTTTATCGTTTGGATTAGTACTAGTATTCTTCTATATATTCATATTTTTTATGTAAAATATAAGAACTTTATCTTTTATTTATTTTTATCTTGTCATATGTTGTACTCTCAGTGGGAAGTCCTACAGTTGCTTGCGGTACAGCATAAAGTCCTTGTAGTGCAGCTTTTTTTGAATATTAGAGATTACTTTGTACTCTGTGGGCCCAAACGCATCAAGCTCTAATCCAGCAAAGTTTTATTCAGTGTACTGGGCTTTTATTCCTGCATTCCCTTAGAAGGAGGGAGCAGCAGGAGACCTTCTCTGGGTCTTCGCACTAAATTCATTACTCATTATCAGCTTATTTATTATTTGTTGCATTTTGTAAATCAATGTATACTACTAGCCTAAATAAATTACAGCAGGGTGTTTTACTTTAAAGGACAACTGCACTAAAATCAATACTGTAATGAGACTACTGTACATCAGCAATATAAATGCTTTACTTTTTTCACATAAACTAATATTTGGCCATGGTCTGCTTAACCTAAAGCATAGTAGTAAACTCTGAACTTAAGAAAAAAAAAAATCCCCCTGCAAGTAAATGTAAATATAATGTGCTAGTATGCATTACATACTAGCATACAGTTGCAAGAAAAAGTATGTGAACCCCTTGGGATTACGTGGAGTTTTGCATGAATTGGGCATAAAATATGCTCTGAACGTCATCTATGTCACAACAATAGAAGAACACAGTCTGCTGAACATAATACTACACAAACATTAGATGTTGCCATGGTTTAATTGCACATAACATGTAAACATTCACAGAGCAGGGAGGAAAAAGTATGTGAACCTTTGGACTTAATAACTGGTTGACCCTCCTTTGGCAGCAATAACCTCAACCAAACGTTTCCTGTAGTTGCAGATCAGACCTGCACAACGATCTGGAGTAATTTTGGACCACTCCTCTTCACAAAACTGTTTCAGTGTAGCAATATTCTTGGGATGTCTGGTGTGAATCGCTCTCTTAAGGTCATGCCACAGCATTTCAATCGGGTTGAGGTCAGGACTCTGACTGGGCCACTCCAGAAGGCATATTCTGTGCTGTTGCAGCCATTGTTTTGTTGAATTACCTGTATGCTTTGGGTCATTGTCCTCTGCGGAGCTTCAGATGGTCGTACGTTTTCCTGCAAAATGTCTTGATAAACTCTGGAATTCATTTTCCCATCTATGACAACAATCTGTCCAGGCCCTGAGGCAGCAAAGCAGCCCCAAACCATGATGCTCCCTCCGCCATGTTTTACAGTGGGGATAAGGTTTTGATGTTGGTGTGCTGTGCCTTGTTTTCTCCACACATAGTGTTGTGTGTTCTTCCCAAACAACTCAATCTTGGTTTCATCTGTCCACAGTATATTGCCCGTAGTGCTGTGCAAAATCCAGGTGCTCTTTTGCAAACTTCAAACGTGCTGCAATATTCTTTTTGGACAGCAATGGCTTCCTCCGTGGTGTCCTCCCATGTACTCCATTCTTGTTTAATGTTTTCCTTATTGTAGATCTGTCAACAAAAATGTTAGCATGTGCCAGAGATTTCTGTAGGTCTTTAGCTGACACTCTAGGATTCTTCTTTACCTCATGCAGCATTCTGCGCTGTGCTCTTGCAGTCATTTTTACAGGATGACCACGCCTAGGGAGAGTAGCAACAGTGCTAAACTTTCTCCATTTGTAGACAGTCTGTCTTACTGTGGCCACATGAACAACAAGGCTTTTGGAGATACTTTTGTAACCCTTTCCAGCTTCATGCAAGTCAACAATTCTTGATCGTAGGTCTTCCGAGAGCTCTTTTCTGCGAGGCATGGTTCACATCAGACAGTGCTTCTTGAAACCAGTAAACCCAAAACAGGTGTGTGTTTTTTTAAGGGCAGGACAGCTGTCAGCAACACATCCAATATCATCACACTGATTGGTGTCAAGTTTGGCTCACTCCTGGCTCCAATTAGCT